AACTGGCAGCTCCACCTCCTCGTATCGCCCAGAAACGGTCTTCGCCCATTGAAACCCGGTCGGTGAATATATTCCCGTTGGAGTCAACTATCCCAGAGCCGACAACGTTGTCTACAGACAATCCGTACTTTCTCATCATGGTTCCGTATCCTCCTCCGCTAAAATGTCCACCAACGCCCAAAGTTGTACATAAACCCGCCGGGAATCCAAGGACGTTGCTCTTCTCAGCGATACGGTAATAAAGCTCTCCCGTCGTGGCGCCGGCATCGACCCAAGCCGTCCCATCAGTGACATTCACGTCGACGTTTCTGAAACTAAACATGTCGAGGACGAAGAATGGTACTGTTGACGTGTAAGAGAGTCCTTCGAAGTCATGGCCACCGCTTCGGATCCTAACCTGAAGAGAGAGTTCTCGGGCGCATCCTAGCGCTGCTTGAATGTGAGTCCATGTGGCGGCAGCGACTATGGCGAGCGGTTTTGGGGTTGTGGGTTTATCGAAACGGAGGTTAGGTATGCGGCTGCGGAGTACTGTGGTGAAGGAGGAGTTTGTTGGGATATAAGCGACGGCAGAGTTCGGACTCGCTGGATCTGTCGGCTGTCGTTCTAGACATCGGAGAAAAGCTACCGGATCGGTCACGGGTTGTGAAGTGGCAACATAGTTTAAGATCAGTAGGAGAGAAATAACGAGTAACTTTTTCATGTTTTCTCTTTGGGAGTTTCGATTATATTTCTTGAAAGCTTGTGTGTGTATTTATATAGAGGATAAGAGGAGATGTTAGTTTCGTATTTTTCTCTTATAATATATTGTACATTATACATTCACACATATACATATTTTATTTCACGTTTTCTTTTCTTGACAGCTAAAGTTTGTTCCCCCGTTTAAATCTCATAGTAGACCAATAATATTTGACTTTAGACTTTTACATATTGTATTTATGAGCACTCATGTACACGATAGCCGATAAGTAACATGTCATTATCTGAATATACGACTTTTTGAATATCTTGTTTGCATTATTCATACGAAAGGTTATAATGTTTCATTTTAATATATATGTAACTTATGCGAGATGCAGATATCAGTACAGATCAACGATTTTTTGTATGTATTAAGAGTCAGGACCCGTAAGAAAAAAAACATTTTTTTTATCAGATCCATGTATCGTGCAAGTCTTCTTTTATCATATTCCGCTTTATCCGTTAAGACAGAGAAATATCCTTTTCAATAAATGTATGCATCTTCCTTACATGTCATTCTGTGATTATCTGACTTTGGAGGATCGTCAAACAAAAATAAAGTAAATTAGACCATCCGTGCTATCAATTGACATGTGAAGAATTCACAAGTTGACATGTTAATTTTCTTTTATATATGTTGGCAGATTAGTGGAATAATTGATAGTCAACTTTTTCGAGCACTTCAATTCCTTTTTGTGAACTTAAAAAACTTCTTTTTTAAAACTTACTTAACAAAACCGGGGTATAAGTTGTATGATTTGAGTCCGAGGATTGTAACTCGTTGGTAATATAAAAACATAACCATTTTTAGTGATACTTCACATATACTACCAATTTTCCTCTATTGTCATGAGGAAAACTGTCATAAAAAATAGAGTATAGACAAGTTCAAGTTTGAACCTGTTACCATATATTACTTGATCCGTTCTATTATCACTCATTTGTTATTCTTATTTTAAGTAACGTCGTTCAAAACAAAACAAAAATTAAGAAACAGAATGCATGATCCTATTAAGTGATTAGATAGTTTTGACAATTTTAACGCATTTCTAAAGAAATAGATACACATCTACTTCAAAAATAAATAAACAGGAAAGATATTACATTCCTTTATCTTCTAAAACATACATGTCTTTCAAAACATATTAGGTTTTAGGTCTGAGTAATAAAACTAGAGAGCTCAAACGATCTGAGTAATAAATTTCGGGAGAACTTCTTAATAGCAGAAGCAAGATATGGCTTAAGGTCGTTTCTAGTGACTAGAGAGCACAGGAATGCTCTGCTCGTACCGGAAAAAGTTATCCGGATCAACTCTGCTCTTGACCTTAACCAATTTCTCGAAGTTGTTCTTAAAATACTTCACCCCATACACTTTACCTTCCTCGTACGTCGAGTTCAAGCTCGTACCAATGTCAATGTCTCTATAGTTCAAAAACGCCTCTCGTGGATTGTTTGACACGTAAGGGCTCATTGCCTCGAACACTCTCTCCGTTTGGCTCAAGCATTCGTTAGCCACTGCTTCCCCTGGCACGAACCAGTTCGCTGCGTACTGAATCTTGAACATGTTCCCTGCTCGGTGCGGGAACGCTGTTTCGGTCGATGGAATCTTAGTCATCCTCCCTCCGTACGGGTTCCAAGCCATTGTCACGTTCTCGTTCTCTAACAGAACCTTGAATATCGCATCCAAACCGGTTCTTGATATCGGCTTTTGGACGTAATCGGATTTTCTCTTCAGGTAGATTTGCTTTTGCGGAATCCGGTTTAGCATAACCGATGTTGGTGCTGTACCAGGTGGGATACTTAGCCAGAACAGAACTGACTCGATCCATTTCATTTCTATACACTCTGTTTTGTTCAGACCAAGCTCCGGGAAATCCGTGTTCATGATTTCTAGAAGCTTAGTCGAATCTCCGAGAAACATTCCCATGAAAGAAGCCTTTACAGTTTTGTTGCTTGTGCTTAAAGTCAACCGTATGAACAGATTATTGTCGGTCTTGTCTGCGATCTCTTGCCATTTCACCACAAGTTCTGTGGTGTTCACGCCTCCTCTGTTTCCGACAGTTTCCACGTTAAAGACTGTGACATTCCCTGGAACCGGAACAAGCTTGATCTTCCAGGCCAAGACAACACAGAAACTTGCTGCCCCACCGCCACGTAAGGCCCAAAAAAGATCTTCTCCCATCGAGCTACGGTCCAATACTCTTCCCTTAGCATCAACAATCTTTGCGTCTATAATATTATCGATCGATAAACCGTATTTTCTCATCATGTTTCCGTAACCACCACCGCTAAAATGTCCACCAGCGCCTAAACCGGGACAGATTCCGGCAGGAAATCCACGGAGATCGTTGCTTTTGTTGGCAACTCCGTAGTAGATCTCTCCAAGTGTAGCACCGGATTGGACCCACGCAGTGTCGAGTTTAGGTTCAAACTCGATAGACCGGAGGTTGAACATGTCTAGGACGACGAATTCGACTGTTGATAAATAGGACATCCCATCATAGTCGTGGCCTCCACTTCGAATACGGAGCTGGAGGCTGAGTCTTTTGGCGCAGGTGATCGTGGCCTGGATGTGAGTAACGTCTGCGGCTGCTATGATCGCGACGGGTTTAAGTGTCGTGTTGTTGAAGTAACGGAGGTTACGGACGTAGTTGTTGAGGATTGTGAGGAAACTAGGGTCTTGTTGAGTGTATGTGAAGTTTTGTATTGGGAAATTTGGGTTTGAGGGTTTAAAATCTGTTGTGCATTGTGAGAAAATGTCTTCGAGTCTTGGTGGTGATGCAAATGATGTTGGGATTGTAAAGAAGAAAATAATGATGATTAGGGTGTGGATTGTTAGAGATTTCATTCTCTTTGCTTCTCGCTATCGCCCTCTTTTGTTGAGTATGGTTTGCAATATGAGTTTGCATGTTTTATAGATTTATTAATTTGGCATGAATAGACAATCGGCGATTCTTGTAAATGCGTATCTTTTAGGCAAGATTGATATCTTTGTAAATTATTCAATTACACAATATGGAGATTCAGTGTTATAATATGGTGATTTATTTCCTAAATGTCATAAATTATAAGTTCAACTTATCTGGTCTATTTATTGAGTGTTAGTTATATACAATGATTTGAAAATCTCGGATATCAATTCGATATGACTACTGGTTGATTGGTTGAACTAGATTTTCTGCTTTTAAAAATTAAATATATATATATATAATCATATATTTATATAATATGAACCTAAAAATAATAATTCTACATATAATAACGAATAACATAATCATAATTAATAGATAAAATGCCCAAGTCATATACACATAGCCTACAAAAAAATCCGTTTGGTATTATTAGTATAACTCTCATATATAAAAATAACTAATTTTGGGAAATCAAACAATGGCGCTCTAATGTCCATCCCACTACTAGTGAGGACCTCCTGGTTATTTTTTAACTGCTAGTCAGGACCTCCTGGTCATTTTTTAACTAAAAAGAAAGTTCATTCCACTATGCTGCTTGCGTTACCAGAAGCCCACGATAATCAACTTGGTATATAATTATAGTGGGATTAGTGAAATGGACTATGCGAGAGAGCACAAGAGTAAAGTGTGACATCTTAAGATATACAATATTGATTCACTTTTCATTATTGTATGTCACCTGTAAATGATTATTAGTACCCTCTAATAAGTACTACATGCACACATGATTTCTGGACAATGGTGCTGATTGGTTCGACCGTGGCTCTAAAATTTTAGCTGTAGGTAAATTGGTTGTAGTTGTAAAGTTGTTACGATAGATTTTTTTTGCAGACTTTTGTTATAGTTAAATTTGTTGTAACTATAAGTTATACGCTGTAGATTTTTGAAAATAAAATATGTGAACTATGTGATGTATATATAAAAAAAATTATTTTTATCAATTAAATAGTTTATATTAATATTTTTATATAAGTTATCAAAATTTACTATTATTTAAAATGTGATATGTAAAAACATTATGTTATTTAAAATATATCAATAATTTTTAAACACCAAAAGTTAAATTAAATATTTATAGATGTTTTTAATTATGATTATCTACTTTATTTGATATTATAATATTTTTTTTTTCATTTTACAGATTCTACAGCTATAAAAGTAAACTTTAATTTGTTACCCTAAATACATAAAATTGCTTTAGTTTTTTTTTTGTAGCTTTAAAAATAAAGTTAAAACATGATTGGTAAAAATTTATAGAAACCTGATTTAGACTTACACATTTAAAAATAAAAGTAGAACATGAGTGGTAAAATCAGTGATTTAAAAATAAATAAAAATAATGTAAGGTGATAAAGTCCAATCAATCACTCTCAGTTATGTTTACAAAACTATTAAGTGTACTAGATTCTTTTTCCGCGCTAAACGCAAATAATATATTTATGATTTTTTATTTGGATATGAATTTTCACATATTTCATTTTATTTAACTATTTTTTTTAATTTGAAATATTTTTTTTGTGTTACCAATTGAAGTGAATATTATTATTAATTTCTATGTAATTCATTGGTATTTAGGGATAGTTATAAAATTTTCTTCGTTATAGCATGAAATTGATATAATTGTCAAATATGTTTCTATTATAACTAACAACACTAGATCTCAACCCGCACAATCGCGCGTATATTTGTTTTCATTTATTTTTATATAAACATTTTGTTTTTACTTCTAAATTGGTATATAATATAAAGTGTGTATATCGAAAATGATGATTAATTATTATATAGTATAGATTAATTATTGTTAGAAAATGATGATTTTGTTATTTTTAAAAATAAACTATATAATTTTTAAAGTTAACATCGCAAATATATAAATTAAAAATTTATACTATTACAACATTAAATGATATAAGTTTAATTTAAACATATATTTTATTATATTATCTATAAATCCAATGGATCATCTAATTTTATTAGTCCAATAAAA